GGAGGGAAAGAGGGGAAGGAAGGAGAGAAGGAGAAAGGAAAAGAAGAAGAGGAGGAGAAGAAATGAAAGAAGAGGAGGAGGGAGGGAAAGAGGGGAACGAAGGAGATAAGGAGAAATGAAAGGAAGAGAAGGAGAAAGAGGTGAAAGAGAAAAAAAGGAAGGAAGGTGGAAGAGAAGGAGGAAGGAAGAAGAGAAGGAGAAAGGAAAGAAAGAAGGGAAGAAGGCAGAGGAAGTGAAGGGAGGTGAAGGGAGGGAGGAAGAGAGTAGAAGGAAGGAAGGAAAGTTGAGGACGAAAGGGAAAGGAAGGAAGGAAGGAAGAAGGAAGGATCTTTACACTATGCAGGCCTTTCCAAGGGACTTGATTGCCTCAATTACTCCTGGGCAATTCAGTGCAACAATTCGCACTTTCCTAATGAAACCAGCCCTACAAATCACTCCAGTCCTTCTTGGCCAGGCCGTTCCGCCCACGCCAGGCGCTTAATTGACACCTTGCCCTCCCCCGCCTGGCTAATTTGGCAGCCGGGCGACCAAAATAGGCTCCTGATAAGATTCCTACCTTCCTGCGTGGCCACCCTGGGACACCCCCCCCCTCCCCAACCTCTCACGGCAGAGGCCCTGGGAAGATTTCTGAGCATTCGCCCCACCCGGAAAGGTGGAGTAGCTTTTATGTTTTGAGTGGGTCTTTCCTTTCTGTACACCCTGAACTAACACACTCTCTCTCTCTCTCTCTCTCTCTCTCTCACACACACACACACACACACACACACACACACACAGGATACCCATTTTTTGCTACATTCCCTCCAACAATGCTATCTATCTATCTATCTATCTATCTATCTATCTATCTATCTATCTATCTATCTATCCATCCATCCATCCATCCATCCATCCATCCATCTAGCTTCTTCTCCTTCCTTCCTAGGCAGGGGGTTGGACTAGAAGACCTCCAAGGTCCCTTCCAACTCTGTTATTCTATTCTATTCCTTTTTTATCTTTCTCGTTCTCTCTTTTTCTTCCTCTCTTGTCCCTCTCCATTCCTCCGTTCGTTCGTTTGTTCCTTCCATCCCTCCATCATCTTCCTTTTATCACCTTCCTTCCTTCCTTCCTTCCTTCCTTCCTTCCTTCCTTCCTTCCTCTCCTCTCCTCTCCTCTCCTCTCCTCTCTTCTCCTCTCCTCTCCATTCGAAGCCAGCTGCTGAAAGTGATAGAGATCTGAAGACGCCTCCATCCGCCTCCCTCAGCCTCTAGGCCTCCCTGGTTTCGGGCCCTGCCCTGCCCTGCCTCCCAGGCCACCCAGAGGCCCCACTCCACCCCAAGCAGTTGACCATTTAATCAGTGGGTGCAGCAAAATTTCACAAACCGACTACCTAGAACGCCATAACCGAGTTGCTAAAATCACTCACTGGAAACCGGGCCAAAAGTTTGGATTTTGAGCATAGTAACAACTACTGGGAACATCCGGTTGAGAAAGTTCTGGAGAATGAAAAAGTCAAGATCTTGTGGGACTCCAGAATTCAGACGGACAGGCACTTGGCCCACAACACACCTGACATAACAATAGTTGAGAAGAAAAGGGTTTGGTTCGCTGACATTGCAGTACTTAGCGATGCACGAATTGTAGACACACAGCAAGAAAAAAAACCCCACAAAGTATCGGGACTTACAAATTGAAGTTGAGCGACTTTGGAAAAAGAAATCGTGTGTTATCCCAATTGTAATTGGAGCCCTTGTTGTGATACCTAGAGGGCTGCCTCGCTATTTGGAAATCCTGAATTTATCAGACTTGAATACCCCGATTCTACAAAAAAACCCACCCTACTTGGAACAGCTTATATCTTCCGACGCTACCTGAACAGTTCCTAGGTCCTTGGTTAGGACTCGAGCTGTTGAGCTACCAACCAGCCCCCAAAGCTGTGAATCTCACTAAAGATTAAATAAATAAATAAATAAATAATAGTAGTAGTAGTAGTAGTAGTAGTAGTAAAATTATTAAAAGCTTGGCATGGGAAGATGCTGAGCCAGAAGTAGACCAGTTGCCATCAATCAGAACTCAAGTTCATTCTATCGCCACAACTGATCTTCCTGCCTTCACCAAGAACCTCAAGCTGTCACCAATAACTCCTGGGTTGAGTCACTCCCATCCGGCTGAAATTGTTGAGATCCAAACACAACCACCCTGCCCCCTTTCTCTCTCCCCCCACAACCTACCATTTTCAAATATCCGCTTGCTTCCCTCCCTGTCCAGTGACCTGCAACACGCACAATCCACGGCCCCCTTTTGTCTCGGTTTTTAAATCGCAACCAGCAAAATGGCGCCAGGAATATTTACCTGGAATTGGAAGATTTCTCCACTCAAGTTAAACATGTGTGTCTGTGTGTTTGTGTGTGTAGTGACAAACCTGAGAGCAGTGAGGAATTGACTCAACCCAACCCACAGAGACCAGCCAGCCGGGCGGCCCTTGGATCAAAAATCACAGATGGAGGGGATCAAAATGGCACACAGCAAATAACAAGGTTAAAATTGTTGCTTGGCGCTGTCCCAGCGCGCGAGAATCTCTTCCTCTGACCACACTTGGAATGCTACTGCAGCGGGTTTCGATGACCACAACACCAAGAAGATGTTCAGATTA